AAGTCAATTTCTTAAGGTTTTATACTGCTGCCCATTACCCTAGTGCCCGAGCGAGATAATAAGACCTAAAACCTGCTGGTAACTCCAGACTGATGCAGTGTAACTACACCTAGAAATAATCTTGTTACGCTACCAGTAAAAGTATACTTCACCTTGATAACTGCTCATTTAAGAATACATTTTGATGTCCATTTTATTTGTGGATTATTGTAAGATTTTTTTTAATTTACTTGTACCAAGCAAATGAACCAGAAACATAATTCAATTCTGTTTTACTCTAAAAATATACAAGGCACCCTTCTAAGAAAAGCTCACATTTCTTAATAAAGGGCTATGAAGTTGTTTTACTGTGATGGTGGAATACTGCCACCTTGTGGGCATGTCTTGCAGTTTTGAGACACCATTTTCTCTTGTAACATTTCTTGGGGACTCTACTGCATTCTGTGCTATAATCCGAATGGCTGCCATCATTTGATAGCAAGTAGCTCCATGGGGAGAGAAGAAAACATATTTAATTGTTTTTTTCTAATTTTTCAGCAAGATACAAAAATACAGTCTTTGACTTTGAAAGAAATGCTAGTTCCAACAGAGATGTCAACCCTCCCTAATTTTCCATAATTCAGATTTTTACATGTAATTACAAAATTACTAATTCAGATTTAAATCTAATTTTGTGTATGTGCATGCATGCACATACAGTCTCTGTCTCGCCACCACTCGGGTCCGATGAATGCAACAAATAATGGCACAGCTTTGGGGGGTTCTTCTCCATCACTTCTATGGCATATGCCCAGACTGCTCAGTGAGGGCCTGATAGGAGGTAAGCAATTTTGAATGGGTTGGGCGGTGCTGCTGGAGTCAGTGCCCAAGCCATAGACTGCATGTTATATTTAGAGCACAACATGCAGCCTGTGACTTGAGCAGTGAATCCAGCAGCACTCCAAACCCCACTAACAATTGCCATGGCTTGACTCCACTAGATTTTCACTGGGCAATCGGTGGAGGAGAAGCTGAAGGGGCAGGAGGCGGAGGAGGCTGTGGTCATAGAGGAAGAGGGGGGGAATGCAACATAGGTGGGAGAAGAGGAGGATCATCCTGGGAAGGATGTCCAGGCCTCGGACTGGCCAAGGTAATTAAGGGCCCAAGGTGACATAGGAGGGCAGTTTTCCTAGGGCCAGTCTTTTCCATCTCCCAGTTTGGGGGTGGAGTTCAGGGGCATAATGGGCAGGGGAGAGCCCAAGCCCTCTCCCCTTGGCCATAGACAAGAGAGGGGAAGAAAAGGCTATCGTTTCTGGGAGAAGAGGCAGGGGGTCCAAGTAAATGCTCTGATTCCTCAGGATTTTTTTCATAAACATCCCTAAGTCTTGGAATAAGTTTGGCATCTGACTGCAGTATATAGCTTTTAAAAACTTGAATTTTATTATCATGTCAATGAAAGTAAAATATTTAAAATTACTTAAAACCCTATTTACCATGCTGTTTTCACAACTCTAGTGTCCAAAAACCTTTAACCTGAAATTAAGTTGATGGGTGATCAGCATGACCTTGTGCTATTTGTACCCTTGCAGAAAATGAGTTTAATTCCCAAAAGTTAAACTTTGGTAAATCAGGAAATTCAGACTTTTAAGGAGATGCTTCCCACATAATCTTAATTCTATCCCCTTTGATTCCTGCCTTAAGAATTCCTTCAGGTAGATCACAGTACCATATGCCCCTCAGTCTCTGCCAACCAGTAGTAAATAGATCAGTGGTGCTGTATAGAGGCCAGTGAGGATCTGAAGGTCTGTATTAATAGGAGTGCTGAACTGGAGTTTTGGTGGGCATAGAGAACATGGGAATATGACAATATTTTACCTTTCTCTAACCAAATCAACCAATTTCTATTGCCATACATATGAGAGGGGAAAGGAGGGCAGAGTTAGGTAGTGTAGATTTGATGGCTCAGAAATGTCAACTCTCTATTTCCCAGTTTTCCAATTTTCAGTTCTAGAAACTAAATTCTCATGTTCTGGAAGAAGTAAAGGGCAGTTCTGAAAGCCTACAATGTTAACTTCATCTTAAAGGTTTTGCCTCTGAGCTTCTCTTGCTTGAGAAGGTTGGGGTAGCAAAGGGACCAGGTTGAGGGCCAACTCAGGAAGTCATGCTTGTAGTATGCAGAATTTTCATGTGCTCTGTTCTCAGCTCTGTCTGTGGCATGCAGAACTCTCTGCTTCTCCCATCAAGCACGAAGTACAATCTTGGGGAGTTTCCTATGGGGGGGCAGGAGTCTGGGATTGCGGGCTCCCACTTTCCTGCTGCTGAGGAGGATCACACCTGCATTATAAAAACTGGTCCCTGGGCTTTTGTAGCCTCCCAAAACACCAGTTCTGTCTCCTGATGTCTCCCCTAAGCAAGATACGGTAATACAGAATGAGGGATCCCCAGAAACTGGAGAGTATGCAATGAGTTTCTTCCTGATCAGTTCCTCCAATCTCTCTGCCTGTGGCATGCAGTAAGTTTTCCTGTGCTTAGCTCACCTTGGACTGAGTAATGTATGGGCCACAGGAAATCCTCAATTAGGGTGGGTGCCATGAGATTGTGAGCTTCCTTTCTGCCTGCTCCTGCCATAACAAGAAGTTCAGGTACAATCTATAAATATTTTACAGCAAGCATAACCCTGGCCTCAGGCCTGCTACTTCCCCAAACATCTCTTATATCTCCTCCTCCTGGTTCCCTTTTCCCTTTCCAGCAAGGTGTGATTGGATGTTGATTTTCCACCCACCCCCTTTCCCTAAGTTTCAAAGCTTCTCAGCACCAAATCAGCCAGAATTGGCCCAAGTTCTTTGCTAACCAATTGGTTAGGCCCTTATAGAGGCCAAATACCCTGCAGCTGGGGAGACAGAGGCATTTTTTTAAACAATTAAGCAACTTGGGAGGTCGCACAGTCAGCTATAGAACAAGTGTCTGAGACATAGGCCATTCCATTAGCCATAAGACCATCCATCCGCCTAATCTTCCAAGAGGTTGGAGGAGCTACCTCAAAACTGCATTTTAAGCAATCTACCCAACATAACACAAATCTGCAGTCTGAACCTTGAACAGAACCCAAGTCTTCTGCATCCCTAGTCCATCTCATTAGCATAGTGGTTATCTTTTGCCCTACACACAGTCGTGGGTTCCTTTCTGGCTTTGGCCAAAAATTCCATCCTGAATCTGAGAAACCTTCTTGATGACAGTTATGAAACTGATATATTCTCATGAAAACTTTTGGTTTTGGGTAATTGGATTTTCTGCCAAAAATAATTTAACTGGAAAATTCCTATCCTGCTCTAATCACTACACTGATGGCGTGCCTGATTGCATTTGGCATATGACTTTCGAAAGAGAGGCTTGTTGCTCAAAAGGCAGCATGGCTCAGTGAATGAGACTTGAACCTGCCTTACCAGAAATCTGGATTCTAATCCCAGATCTGCCTGATTTGACCTCGTGCAACCACTGTTATTTAGGGCTTGTCTACATTACCCACTGGATCGATGGTCAGTGATCGATCCAGCGGGGGTTGATTTATCGCCTCTAGACTAGACGCAATAAATCGACTGCCGAGCGCTCTCCCATCGACTTTGGTACTCCACCAGGGCGAGAAGCACAGGCGGAGTTGACGGGAGAGCGTCAGCCGTCGACTTACCACAGTGAAGACACCATGGTAAGTAGAGCTAAGTATGTTGACTTCAGCAACGTTATTCACATAGCTGAAGTTGCGTAATGATCTATTTCCCTTCCCCCCAGTGTAGACCAGGCCTTAGCTACAAACTTTTAGGACCTGTCAGGTGTACATGAATATTAACAAGAGATAGCAAAGGGAGGAGACTTGCACTCTTGGTCTTTTGGCTTGCGGATCTTTGTTCACTAGGCTACAACCTATCGTACAGGGACACTATTTTAGTGTGGTGCACTGTGCAGGATTGGTCTGGCGGATGGCTGTTTAGGGCATGGTGCACATGTGAGCTAGTACCTGCTGCATGGTGCAGAGCAGCCAGCGCATACCAGTACATTTGCCCTTTAAAATTCAAATTGAAAAATAGTTAAGGTTGATTACCTGTAATTAGTTGAAGATCTGTAGTATCACTATGTAGAATTCTGAGACATTCTTGTGTAATGTGTTTCATTTTTAATATAGTAATGTATCATTAAGGCATCAAAAGAAATTTTGTCCTGTGGGGACACCCTTCAGTTACGATTGAGGTATTTGTGGTTCCATTTTAGAGGAAACATAAGTTTTTCGTTTTTTTTTCCCCCCTTTTCTCCCCCCCCCCCCCACCTCTTTACTACATAATGTCACTACTACAAGGCAGAGTTCAGGTTCTTTGGGCACCTTAACTGTGAATTTCCATGCCTGAGCCTGTATGATTGTCTTTAAATTTAACCTTTATTCTGAATTTCCTTTCTTTGTACTGATTTGGGCTACAGCATTAGAAGAAGGTTGTCATCCCACTTTACTCTTAAATTACTGTATGTGCTGTTAAACTTAACTCCAGTTTAATATAGTTATTTTTATCTGGGACAAATGATTAAACAAGCATTGGTTTTTTCACTTTCTATGGTGAAAATCTTAATTTTCCAAAGTAAAGTTCACAGGTTCAAATACTGATGCTAAATTGTTATTTAACAATTTATCTTAAATTTAACACAGAAAATCTTACAAATTTTACACACCTTTTTCTTGATTGCTGGCACCATATACTGCATGCATAAAAGACCTGTCTGCTGCAAGCTGGTTTTTGTTCACATAGTTCTTTCATATACTAGCTTTGTTGTACTATTTTCATTTATATGGAAGGTATAACATTTTTGAAGCTAAACATATTTCTAGCTGTGTAGAATTATATCTTTATGATATGCATTTGACTCTTTAAATTCTAAACTAGTGGAGAGAGAGTAGAGTTCATCTTAAATTGTTGCAAAAGCCAAAACGATGGAAGTCAACAATCTACTAACTTGTATTAAAATCTTTTCCCTTTTAGGCAAGAAATTCTGAAGTGGAATGGATGGGGATATAATGACTCCAAATTTATATTTAATAAGAAGGGACAAGCAGAATTCACAGGGAAAAGGTAAATGAAATCTCTGGCATCACTGTGTAGATAATAGTATGAAGTTTCTTGTTTTAAGCATTTTATTTTTTAGAATCTGTATTTGTGTAGTGTTTTAAATCAATCTATCTGAAAGATGATTGCTTTTTTGGCACGTCCTATAGAATAAGCTTAAAATGTTGCTGTCTGCATTTTTAACAACTTTACTGAGTTATAAAATAGTACTTTACTAGTGTGGATAGTAAAATAAACCTTCACTGAGGGTGAATTCACTGAATGCCTTATTAAAAGCTTAACATGGTCTTTTAGAGGACAACTTAAGCAAAATTAGTCTTCCCCATAATTTCAAGTAGTCACCCTGCTGAAGATTTTACTTGGTCTTGAGTCTCCATTATAACACTCACTCATCTAAGGTTTGGTCAGTATGCAGAATTCCTGAGTATTCTTCGGTTCTAAGAATCTCATGAAAGAACAAGCATGTCATTTTACTGATTAGTTAAATGCCAGTTTGTATTTTATGGGAAACCTGTATTCATGTGTAGAAGTTTCATTGGTGATCATAAAATATTTCTTGGATCAGGGTTGTGGTGAGGATAAATTCATTAGATTGTGAGATGCCCAGATACTACTGTAATGGGGGGGAGGGGGCAATATAAGTACTCAATTAGGGTTGTCAGGCGTCCGTTTTTCAACTGGAATGCCTGGTCAAAAAGGGATCGTGGCGACTCCGTCAGCACCACTGACCAGGCCATTAAAAGTCTGGTCAGTGGCACAGTGGGGCTAAGGCAGGCTCCCTGCTCTGGCTCCGCGCGGCTCCCGGAAGTGGCTGGCACATCCCTGCGGCCCCTAGGTGCAGGAGTGGTCAAGGAGGCTCCGTGCGCTGCCCCTGCTCCAAGTGCTGGCTCTGCAGCTCCCATTGGCCAGGAAATGTAGCCAATGGGAGCTACGAGGGCAGCGCCTGCTTCCAAAGTGAGCAGTGCGCCGAGAAACCAGCTGCATCTCTGCATAGGGGCCACAGGGACATGCTGGCCGCTTTCAGGGTCCGCCTGAGGTAAGTGCCACCCAGAGCCCTCACCCCCTCCCAACCCTCTGCCCCAGTCCTGTGAAAGTGAGTGAGGGTGGGGGAGAGCAAGCAATTGGGGCAGGGGGATAGAGTGCAAAAAAAAAAAAAAGGATGGTATACAGAAGGTAATTGAGTGCTCCTATTTTTGCTATTTCCCATAATACAAAATAAGAGAACATTCAAGAGAAATGAAAGATACATTTTAAATTGGTCAAAGGAATACATTTTTGCACATTACATAATTACCCCGTGGAACTCATTGACCTTAATGATATTTTGTGCCAAAAAGTAGTAGGATTCAAAAATTAAACATTTGTGTAGGTGGAAATATCGACGTTTCCATTAGATACAATTGAATCAGTTTTTAAGACACCTAATCTTAACATTTCTATATAATTGTTTTATATTTAACACTAAATATGCATAATTTTGCAGCCCTGGATATTAATTTGAATCTAATAAACTTTTCCCTTGTTCTGCATAAGTACAGTAAGTAAGACGTTTATCTGATTTTACATAATATCATTTCATATTAAGAAGAAGCCATGTAATATAGTCTTTATGTTTCAGGTATAGGTTGAGTGGTATGGTGTTACCTGTTTTGAAGGAATGGATGGAAAAAACCTTAGGAGCAAGTTTGGAGCACAAAATTACCTCTAGAGTAAGTAAATAGCTGAAGAGGCAGTTCCTTCAAACATATTGCACTCATGATGACATAACCATTCATCTATTAAACATGACTCATGCTGTTACCCTCAGTATGCCCTTGCATATGGTTGAGTGCCTTAGTATTAATACAATATATTTATTTTAAAAAGTCATGCCTCCTTATAGACTATATTGTATATCAGAAGCTAGGTGACTTAAAATTACTGAAAGTCCAAATTGCTGTAATGTCACACTGCTTTAATCAAAAGATTAGCTACTTGTACAGGGAATATTGGGGTTACTTTTTGCATGGTGAAATATTGTCTCAAACAGACTGCTGAACGGAGGAGCCTGCCCAGAAAGGAGAGAACTTTCATTTGGGAGTACATATTTTAATTACTATTTGAAATGAGAAGCAAAATACAGAAAATATAATAGTTAAACTAATGTTACATACAGTTTTAAATAATTTCTGCAGAATGACAGTGTCTATTGAACCTACTTGATAAGTTGCCCATGTATATCATCTGTTTGAGATTGCATAATATTTGAATGCATCTCTATGCATTGAAGATTTTGGCTTTGCCAGGGTAACTGGGATATTAAACTGATGTTTTTTGGAAAGTTGCAACAAGCTTTAATAGATCTTTAGGGTTCTAAAGCATACTTAATAATTGCATTCAGTTCATGGAACATTATGTTTAAAATCATTTGGTGTTATAACACTTAAAATTATCAAAGCTGAATTTTTTTAATCAGTTTTTAAAATCAAATTAACTTTTCACCATTTACACTGTTTTTATTTACTTTTGTACGTGACATGGACAATGAACATAGACTAGTCAAAGAAGCCACTAAGTGTTTCTCTTTAGTTCCCATGCACAATTATTTATTATTTGTATTATGGGAGTCCCTAGGAAGCCAGATAAAGGCCCTAATATGCTACGCACCATACAGACATGTAACAAAAAGATGGTCTCTTCCCTGAAGAGCTTAAAATAAAAGTGTAAGACTGTACCTGCATTTGGGTTGCAAACCTAGCAGGGAAAACTAACACCCAGACTAACTTAATTTGGAATAATCACATGGAAACTTTTCTGTTGGGTTTTGTGGAAGTTCTTAAAGCAAAACATAGATGTGGGTCTTAAACTGACAGTTTTTTTCCTTGTGTTTTTTTTTAAATTCAAGCAATCCTTAATTTTTTAATATTTCTAAAAATCCCTCAAATTGGAAAATCTTCTTTCCTCCTGTTTTCCTCCTTTCTCTCTTTTTTTTTTTTGGGGGGGGGGAAGTTGAATGGAAGTGAATTGTGGAGTATCAGGATTAGAAATTTCAGCCAGTCATAGCTCAAAAGTTTAAAGACTAAAATTTTGAGAGTTCAATCAAATTGCTCTTTTTTAGGATACACCTGTAAGTGAAGTTATAGTATTGCTTGGAGAATTATCAATACTTATGTGTAAAATGGGAAAAGCCCAGTTTATTTGAAATTAACTTTTTACTTGTAACATAGCAAAATTGCTCAGCAATCATTGAAAAACAGAAGATGGAACCTCCACTGCCATTTTTAGTTACTTTTCAGAGTAGAACTGCACTTAGTCTGTAAAGATCTTTCTTTGTGTCTTATCTTTGGTGAAGGGCTAAATCCTGTAGTTCACCCTGTTTCAGCTAGCTGCTTTGTGATCTTTCCTTACTCTCTCAGTGCTAGGGAGTAAGATTATGTTGATGTGGTTTTCGTGAAGCACTGTGAACTATTGTACTGAACAAATCATTGGCTTTGATAGTGACATACTGAACAATTTATCTGAAAAATAAGAGTCAGAGGGATCAGTGAGGGGTCCAGTCTACAGAAGAAAATGCAATTGAGTGGAGGAATCAAAAGGGACTGGTAGATAGTGTAGTTAGAATTTAGGCCAAGGATGATGATGAAGACAACTGTAATTGGGTTACATTCAAATAAATACCCATATTTTGTTGGGTTTATCAACCGCTAACTCTAATCTGGGTAGTTGGGTTTGTCATGAGAGACCAGCACGATTTAGGGGACTCCCTAGTAGTAATGATTTTTTTTCTTGTATTGTAGGCTTTCTTAAATACTAGTGATGTACCCCCATCTATTGTAAATGAAGAATTTCTTCAGGATCTTAGAGCCACTAAAATTTCATATTCACAGGAAGCAGAAGATAGGGTGTTCAGAGCTCATGGTAAGATCAAGTCCAATGTGTAATTTTACGCTTTTAGAAGTATATATGATTTTTAAAAATCCTTGTAACTTGATTTTTCTTGTACTTCAGGTCACTGCCTACACGAGATGTTTGTGCTAAGGGAAGGAATGTTTAAACGAATTCCTGATATAGTTATATGGCCAGGTAAAAATTTTTAAATTTATTTTTTTCTTTGTTCTGGAGGCTGTAGCTCCCCATGACTGATAATGAAGGGTAGTAGTTCAGGAAGCAGTCCTGTCACACTAGTTGGATATCTCTCACTTTGTCATTTGCTTGCAATAAATAAACTGAAATTGTTAGTGCCGAGGAGTCAAAAATGGCTTCACTCTCACCTTTTAAGAGTAGTCATTTTTACTTACATTTTTACTTTGCAATCTAGATGTTCTCATCTCTATATGTTACCATGGGGTATTCAATGCAGTTAGATTTATCCTAAGGACTTTAATTTCAGTTAATAGTTCTAAATAACAGTCTTTCATTGTAAGGTTAATGCTCATAGTTATAATCAAATGACTGCATACAACTTCTCAATTTTTAATAAAGGATTAAACCTTGTCTTGGTGCTGTGTGCCTTTTTGTACTGATGACAAACCCACTTCATGCATACTATAACTCCTGAATTTCCTGGGGTTTTAGCACTTGGTTGGAGATAATTACAACATTCCTGTAATTCATTAAATACATCCCTGAATTACTGATATGTACTCTCAACCTTAATGCCATTTTAACACAGTTTGGGCTGGTCCACACTAAGCCCCCAGTTCGAACTAAGATACGCAACTTCAGCTACGTGAATAACGTAGCTGAAGTCAAAGTATCTTAGTTCGAACTTAAAGGTACTTACCGCGGGTCCACACGCGGCAGCCAGACTCCCCTGTCAACTCCGCCTACTCTCGCGGAACAGGATTACCGGCGTCGATGGCAAGCACTTCCGGGATCGATTTATCGCATCTAGACAAGACGCGATAAATCGATCCCAGAAGATCGATTGCTTGCCGCCGAACCAGCGGGTAAGTATAGACGTACTCTTTATCTGGAAATTTCCTAGGTGTTTTTTTTTAATTAAGTTTCATGCATGAACCATATACAAGAAACCAAAAGAGGATGTTGCAATGTAATATTTCTAATTTGAAGATGCCACGTATCAACCTTGAATCTTTTATTTTAACTTTTTATGGTCATATTCACAAGTATGCTGTGGCTGCTTTGTCATTCTGGAGCAGCATGAAAGCAGCCAGAGCTTACTGACCAGTTAACTAGGTTTAAACTGCTTTGCAATGCAAATCAGCCAGAGTTCATACCCC